ACTAATATTTTTAAAATATATGTTACTGATTTTACACACTGATTTTACAACTTGCTACTTTGCCAAGTTCTCTCATTGTTGGTAGCAATGGTCTCTTTCCATTTGTTTAAGACTATTTTGCTTTTCAAAAATGTTTTAAAGTTCCCCTGATTTAGGTTGTTTAGTTTTTTTTTTTAAACAATGTAAATGTTGTCTTCTTTTCTATTACATCTTCTAACAAGTTACTAATATTTTTAAAATATATGTTACTGATTTTACACACTGATTTTACAACTTGCTACTTTGCCAAGTTCTCTCATTGTTGGTAGCAATGGTCTCATTAATTCTTCTGGGTTTTCTAGATACATAATCATATGTGGAATATTTTTACCTTTCCTTTCCACTTATCAGGCCTCAAATTGCTTTCTCTCTGCTAACATCATTGGCATTGCAGTGTGTAGGGGAATACCTTTGTCTTGTTTATTATCCTTCTATTTATCAGACTTAGATACTTGGAATTCACTATTTTTAATGCTAAAGAGTATCCTGAAACAAACAAAAAGAGTGGACTGTAGAGGTTTTCCCATCAAAGCTTTAGGAAATAGTTTTGCAGTGCTAGGTATGAACGCCACATAATAAAGGAAACAAAATTTTATGAAATTTAGCTATTATATAACAGAAAGTGGGTGATAATATAATTAATTAATCAGGGTGACAGACTAATTAGCCTCTCAAATTGTACTTTGGGACTCAAATTATTTAGTGTACCTTTCTATACTGAGTAACAAACTACTGCTGGATTATATCAACTATAATCTTTACACTAAAAATTGTCCTTATTATAATAAAAGAAATAATTTTGAAGAGAAACAATCCATTTAAAGGCTATAATTGTCTGAATGTTTGTGCACCCTCAAAATTTGTATATGGATGTGAATCACCAAGTTGATGGTATTAGAAAGTGAGCCTTTGGTCATAATGGCTCCACCCTCGTGAACAGGATCGGTGCCCTTCCTGAAGGAGGTCCTAGAGAGCTGCCCTGCTCTTGTGCCATGTGAGGACGAGGTGCTGTCTGTGGAACAGAGAGCCCTCACCAGACATCAATCTGCAGGTGCCTTGATCTTGAACTTCCCAGCCTGTGAGTGGTACATTTCTGTTGTTTATCAATTACCTAAGGTAAGATATTTTGTTATAGAAGCCTAAGACAAAGTCAAAGAAAATAGGATTGGAATTTCCTATTAGTTAAAACGAATTCTCTTTTAAGAATATTGTAAGCATCCTCCATTTAATCTTTAGAGCTCCTGTAAGATGAGGTTGGAGACGCTGACCTTTTGGAGATGTGGACATGTTGGTGCTGAGTGATAGCCCCTCGGATGTGTCCTTATTCTAAACATTTGTCAAGCTTCTTAGAGAGAAATGATTCTTGAGAAACACATACATTATTCCTGAGCAAGAAGAACCACTAGGAAATCCACTATCAAGATTTTTTTTCTTAGCAGTGTGTTCTTCTTTAAATTCCAATTGAAAGCACATTTGTTAAATTTCTATTACATAGCAAATGCAGACACAATTTGAATCCAGAAGGAGTTGATATTCTAGTGAATAGTCGATCAATGGGTCAATAAGCTCAAAACAGAATAAAATAAATACTTACAAAGGCATTAGTATTTTTCTAGGTTTGATTTTGAATACAGCATTGATTTGTTAAGCATTTTGTTGAGAGTTTGCAATGGAATAAAAACAAGGAAGTCCACCTTCTGTTAGCAGCAAAAGAATCTAAAATGTATCACTCAAACTAGTGGCCTTTAAAAAAAAAGTTCATGTGCAAATTTAGGAAATTTGCTAAGTCCACTTTAAGATGAGATTTGTATTCATCACAAAGAAAGTAATTTATCCTTCTGAATGACTCCCAGTTGTGACTGTGCACGATAACAAAACAAACCTGATAAGAAAACAATATATTTTTTAAATAATAATTTTTTCAATAATTTAAGTTTCAGAAATGGTTTTTAGATTTCACCCATAAAAACAGTCTAAAACTAGCTTTTGGCATTTAATAGAGATTTAGATTGGGGAAAAAAAAGGTCATTCCTTGTTATACAGAAATTTCAGACTATGAATACATCCTACAATATATCATTGAAATATTTAGCAGAAAGAATAATGAGGGATTTACATAATTGTAGCAAAATAAGTATGTTTCAACAAAAAACAATGTAAATGTTTTGCACATAGTACTTAGTGCAGACATGATGGGTAATTCTTCGAGTGTGGGGCAGCAGCTTGGGAGCAAGTTCCCCCATAAGGGATGTTACATGACATCATTCCATCTGTCACTTTTACCAGGAGATGGATAAACCAGGGAATCTCATTACAGACATTCAAAGCGTCCCTGTTTTTTAAGATAAAACACAAGGAATCTATACGGATGCCTGACAACACTCAAACATTGGAGCTGAGAAACACATCATCAGATGCAGCCTGCAAACCTGCATATATTATATATATTCTACTAGTCACACTTAACCACTTTCTTCCTTGTGTTCATCATTATTTTTCTTATGGTAAGCAATAAATAAATAAAAACATGAAGTCTTTCCTTTTCTATTAATCCATAAAAAAGTATGAAAGGAGAAGAATTCTATGTCATCTTTGATCTTATTTCAAATTAGACTTTTTGCAAAGTTTTGTAAGGAACATGGTTCATGCTGACTCAGTTTGGATTAGGTGAGTCAGCAAAATTAATATCTATACACAGGATAACACAGAACTTTTCTAGAAACAAAGTTGGCTAAATTTCAAAAGGATTTTAAGCATTCTCATTTACAACATAAATGGTAGCTAGCCATCATTTCTTAAACATGTACAGTGTGACAGTCAATGACACCGGCATCTCTATTTACTCACGTTTAATCTTACAGCTCTGTAAATCTATCATTATCCTGATTTTACAAATAAGAAACCAAGGCTATAGATCCTTCATTTTGGCCAAGAAATCTATGCTAGTAAAAGTCACAGGACTGGGTTTCTGATACATATTATTTAATTTTTTTATCCAGTATCATTAACAACCACATGATCTACCTTAAGAAAATGAAGCCAAACAAATTACATAATTATTAAAATTCTCCCCAAACTCTGCTTCATTGTAATTATTTCTATAATGTAATGCAGTTTAGTATTCTATCTCTCTACTTTTATCTTTTTACAGGTTTATTTTTCTTCTCTGCTTGCTAAGGAAAGTTGTACTTTTTTCTCTTCTTTAACATTTAATTTTTAGATACACTTAATTTGATAAAATTCTTCATGCAGTACTATTAAAATGCCTAATAATTTGGCACTTTAAAAAGTGCCCTAAATTATAGATGGTTTAGAAATAACCAGTGATTCTGTAATGTGTTTTTATGAATTTGCAGCAGTCCTATGTATGAATGTCGCACAGAGATGTATCTAGAAATAACAGCATATCGCATAATGGAGTATTTCCATTCTGATTTTTGGCCAAGGTTTCTGAAGATCTTTGCCCTGATTTCAAATATTCATGTCATCCTTCTCTCTGACCTAGTAGAAATAATATTTCTGTAAGCACAACTCAGATCTTCATCTTGTATTGTCCTTTAAACAAGTGACTCTCTTTTTAATGTGTGACTATGCCACTTGTTTATAAGGCCACATAAAAATGATGAATATGTCAACAAACCAGGGATATTAATTTTAAAACATGGAGTAAAGTGCTTATTTTAATTCTATATTTGCAAGTCATTACCCTAGCAGTCTATACTGAAGTAAAAAATAACTTAGTTGGAAAAAAGCCGTTAAAGTTCATAAAATTTCAGAAAAGGTCTACTTACTTGTTCAAATTCATTCTTTTGAAATTCTTCAAAACCAAAGATGTCCAATATTCCAATATCCAATGTCTGCATGCTGAAACAAAATGATACACCAGGATAAATGGGCATCCTTACATCCTTAACCCCCACGCCCCCGGACCCTCTGCTTTTTGGTATTTCAGGTCATAAGAATTCAATTAGTTATTATGTCCCTGTCAATCTGAACTAAAAATGTACAATTATCTTAGAGTCTGGTGAAAAACTTTGAAAGTTGTCAAAAAGAAAATGTTCTTTTAATGCTTTGACTCAAACACAAATATATGAATAAAAAAACACATTGATTTCTAAATTTAAAATGTGACAATATATGGATGGTTTAATATTTGTTTCTCTAAAACAGTCTTTGTGTCTGCTCCTTAGATTGGACTTGCTTTCCCTTAAGGAACTTCAGCCTGCATACCAAGTGGCTCTCACTAGCTGTTACTTAGGCTATACATGCAGTAAATCAAGAGTTTTTTCATCACACACAAGTACAATACAAGGGAAATCACAATTAAGTCACATACATGTTCTTTGATATATCAAATTTATTCACTTCAAAAAATTACATTGTGGTCTTTCAGAAGTAATTTTTACAAAGGAAAAATGGAGAAAGAGGAACTTTGAAGGATAATTTAAAGAAATCAATCTTGTGATTCAATGTAAACTATCATTCTTGGGATTTACAACAGTCTTGGGGGATAAAATCTCAGAACTCTGAATCCACATGGTGAGTAAGGAAAGAAGTAAGATAAACCTGAGTCAGTCACAGCAACCCTAACAACTGTGATCTTGTGAAAAAGGGTGGGGGACGCATGGGGAAGTATGCATGAGATTGCTTCTTGCAAAACAAAAAGTGCCCAGATGATTCTGGAATGCCCAGGAGAACATGCACCCTGTCTTTTCTGCATCATTGACCTAGAGTGTCAGTGGGACAATTGCCGTCCTCATTTTCTGCCAGTGGGTACACTATTCTGTTATCATTATAGTTATTATAGTGTCGATACTCATTATTGTTGTTGGTGGCTGAATTTTTATTTCCTCTCTATTTACTTTGTCCAAACTGTAGAACCAAATTGGCAACCACCTCTGGATTTGCACCTGTGTCTTGTTTCTTACAAGCAGTGCACAATCATGATACTTGAGGGTCTATAATATGTCACTTAAATAACAATTTTCCTTTAAAAATGTTGAGTAATGATTCTATGACATCCTGCCTATAAGATCATTTGCTGTATATGGTAGAAATATAAATGTCATAGTAGGAAGGAGAGCTTTTAAAAACCCTTAATACAAACTTCATATGTCAAAGAATATAAAGCGAAGAGAGAAAGAATTATCCAATACATGTCTCTAATTGATTTAGTTTTTTATAAGGAAAAATAAAGATAGCTTTGTAACTCACTAGCTTGCCCAAATAAACTCTGCATGCATTACAGAGCTAAATATTAGGGTGAGAAACTATCAAAGGGTATGAACACAAATGTGATTATTTTTTTGATTTCAATTTTGACAAAAGTCAAAAAAAATGTTTAAAGGTATAATTACACAACTATTGAACACTTTTGCAACTATTAAATTCTTTTTCAGGATAAATAATATAAATACAATTAAGTTTCCACTAGAGGAATTATTTAAAATGTGTTGTGACTTTCATTTTAATAGATTTTTTTTTTCAGATCTACTGATACATCTCTCCTGTCCATCATTTGACATCCATCCATTTTCCTCTCTATCCTGCTCTCTTTAAAATTTGCACAAAGTATGTTGAGAATGATGTTCCCTTATTGCTAACAATGGTGCTGAGATTTAGAATGATGTCTTTCTTTGTTTTGGTTGTTTGTGAGCATATGTGTGTGAGTGTCCACGTGTGTTATCCATGTAATGAAATGATGTATTTCTCTTGTAGGAGCTTAGAGATGAACTTGGAGTTGGTCAGTCTCAGGTAGGAATCCTGGTTCAAACACTGTTTAGTTAGATAATTTTGGGCAAGTTACTTAAATTTTTTGAGCTGTGGTTTCATGACATATAAAATGAAGATAACCAGTGAAATCTGTCCATTAGATTGTTGGTAGAATTAGAGTTAATCCAAAGTTCTAGAAAAAGAGCTAGTATTAAATATATAGTGTGTGTCCAATAAGTGGAAGTTAAGTTTTTAAGAAATATTTTTTAAACTTACTATATAAATAAAGGGAATAATTAAAAGAGAAATACAAATGATTGATAGGCATAAGAAAGTATCAATCTCATTAAAATTGCAAAGAAATAATATTTTAAAATTAGGATGAGAAAGATATTTTCCCATACACTTTTTTTTTTGAGAGTTTAAATTGGTATGGTCTTCCTCAAAAACAATTTGATTACATGGCATAAAGCTTTGAAATGTTCGTACCATTTGAACTAATACTTCCATATATAGAAACCTATATGAAGAAAATGATCAGAAATGCCATGAAGACTTATATACAAGGATATTCATCGTTAACTTAATTACAATAACAACAAAAAGAAATAACAAATCTCCTACACTAAAACCACAATTAATTAAATAGCATGCATTCTATGGTGGATTAATTTAAAGAAACTGTCCAGTTAACAGAAAGCAATATATAAATTCTGAATAAAGAAAAAAACCAATTATATGTCTAGAAGATCTCAAAAGAAATCAAGCCTGAAAAGAGGAAATAGATAGTTTTTGTTTACTTTTTTTTTTTACTATTCCCCATATTGTAAGGTTTCTATATTGAAACACTGCTATTTTTATAATCAGCAAGTATTCAATTGATGTGTATGTAAAGACAATATGAAAACATGGAAAATGTTCATGAATGACATTATCTAAAAATAAAAAGCCAGAAACAAAATGTATACCCTCTGTATACTTATAGATTAATTTGAACGATGTTAAAAAATAAATCCATAGTTCAGGAAAAAATAAGGCACGTTTTAACAGTAGATATCATAGAATTGTAATCCTAGAGGTAATTTCTTAATTTTCTAAAAGTTCTATGCTGAGTATTATAATAATCTTTATTACTAACCTTATTTAAAACACTTTATCTAAAAATACATACGGTTAGATATATGTCGTGGCATTTTTTTATTTGGTGGAGGAAAAGGATACCAATAACATTAAGGGCAGCCAGAGGAAGTTAGAGCCCAGCAGCAATAAGAAATAGGTGTCTGGTTTGGCCAGCGATAGCAGACGCAGCAGGTGCAGGAGGAACCCCAGGAGTCAGGAGAGAAAGGGCTTGCTCTCCCGAAGGCCAGGTACCGGTCTCAAGTACAGGTGTCTCCTCTGTGCACTTACATCAGGAGCTCTGCCTCAGGCTCTCCTGTCAGACTCCCCTGCTTGGTTCCTAGCTGACCTGGGCAGCAGCAGCCCTATAATTACAGCACATAGTTTTGATAGAATTTTGGGGAAAGTACAAGAGATACCAGTGATACTATGTCACCCCATACACACCTCCCCTCCTTGGAAGGAGGACAAATTTGTGTCGACACACAAAACAGAGATGCTTGGCCACCAAGGCATGTGTGGGTGAGCGAGTCACATTAAAGGATTCTGATTCATATTGGGGATAGTAATGTATTAATTGGTAATGTAGAGTAGCATATATTTTTGTTGAAAAGATACTCCTCTTAAATGAATTTTTTTCACATTTCATAGACTCTGATTCCAAACATACTTGGTTCATAAAACCAAGTATGGGGGGAAGGAAAATCCATTGTCAAGGGAAAAATTAAATGCAAGTTTAAAGCATTTTAAGGACTACTTTTGCAATTCCTGGGAGACATAATATGTTCATTTAAAAGAATCTATTTCATCATTTATGACTGAATGAAATACATGTCTATAATTGCAATAGCAACCTGGGCAGGATAGTTACAAAAACGTTTAGCTAGCAAAATGTCCATACTATGTAGCAGTCAGCATTGCTGTTGCTCCTTTATTGATATCTGACTCCTGTTGCAGAGGCGTTTAACTCAACATTCAATTTCTGGCAAAGAGGAACAGAAACAGTTCATCTGACCAGCCAGGATGCAATCTGACATGAAAAATTAACATACTAATGAGATGGTCTCTTACAGTTCAATTCTACCTTAACATTCTTATGACACTTTCCTGATAGTTTACAAAACCGTCCAGTTTCTATTAGTATATTAGTATTATAAACCTTTTATGTCAGGCAAAATATTAAATGTGACGCCATTTCTCTGGTTTTGATTTTTCCTTTCATATGTTTAGGTATGGGGTAGGGGAAGGTCCAAGTTAAAGAGAATGTCTATCTTAGAACATGGACAAACTCACTTCATCTGAACAGAAAGATCTAGTGGTGTGTAGAAACCACATTTTGTCCTCAATCATCCTTAGACAAGGAGATTCCCTGGAGAGTTACCTAAGTATTTAGTAACTTTAGAAAATAGCTTAACCTTGCTTTGGCACAAAACCCTTAGACTGAATTAGAGTTGAGTCAGCCTCTTAGGCCAATCATAGATCAATAGGACGCCAGATGGGGCAAGAATGAATATAAACCCATTCCAGACTGGAGCAATCTTGTTGTCCAGACTTACTGCCCTTGGGATCAGTTGGACATCCACAGATGGCAGCGGCGGGCAGACCCTGAGGATGTTGGGCTGTGCTAGGGCATTCACCAGTTATACTGTCAACATGCTGATTTGTTTAGTTCAAATAAGTTTTGTTTTTTTAATGGACCAGGAGCACTCACTGCAGAGGCTGACTCTGCCCACTCCTTAGTGTATCTCAACCTCTCAGGGGTTCCTGCAAGAGGAACTTGGGAAAGAGAAGTGGGGTTCCAGGATTGCATACTTTTGGGGGTTTCTTCCTTTTATTCTTCGACTGAAGAAAGTACCTGAGGCTTATCACTTTCTGAAACCATGCCATAAATTATGGAAAGTGTTCGCAATTGCTGACAAAGTCAAGCTAGAAGCTGAGAGATGACCAAAGTGGCCATCTTAATTCCTAATTCTTTATAGTATTGTGCAAATCAACATCTTCCCTAAATGCTGTCACTCCCTGCACTTCTTCCCACA